GAGGAGTGGCTGGTGGGTTTGAACCGCCAGCCTTCTGGTTAGCAGTCAAGTGCCTTAGCCACTATGCTACCAGAGCTCCTAACTTTACAATAGAGTTCCTTTTTTATTAGGTTTTAAACAGAAATTTGTGAAAAGATTGGGTGCTAGGAGGAGCAGGGGAAAGAAGATTAGAAACAACAGGCTGGAGACACATTGTGGGGAGTGGCCCACATAAATGTGAGATTTTAGACCATAAGTAGAGCAGAAGGTGAGGTCACTTGTCAAGAGCAAGACATGAGGTGGACAGAATTTCAAGTAGCGCTGGGTCTAAAGCTGAAGTGATAAAGCTAAAGTTGTTGATGGGCTCCCTTCCTGACAAGCAAGTTCTCTGGGAGACACCTGGCAAGTGTGAGCAGAGTAAGCAGTTGACACAGTGACCAGGGGTGATGACAGAAAAGTGAAGCTGCATGCCTTGAGACAGGGCATGGCTTTCTCTCCTGGGTGAGGAACCTAAAGAGTAACAAGTGCTTTGGTAAATGAACATTGGCAGCCCCCTTTAGCAGAAAATCTGAGTGCTTCTGGGCATATCAAACCAAATGATACCACTGTTGCAGTTCTACTGTACGCACTACTAGTAAGACCACAGTTTGGTGTTATCTTGAGATTTCAGTGCTTTCTTGTTTAAAAAACAAAACAAAACAAAAAAATTGTTCTCATTGTTCTGATCAGGCAAAGCTAAAATGAACAGAAGTCCCCAGAGGAGAGGTCAAGCACACAAGAAAAAGAGAAGTCTAATATAACAGTATGACATGTGTAACAGAAATGGATTGAAGGTGAATATTGAGAAAGAAGGGCTCACAAATACCTGGGTATTATGTTAGGTGTTTCCCCAAGCATTGGCTGCAGACAATTTATTTCTAAGATAATGTTTGTTCTTGTCCCAGAATACCTCCATCTCGCTCACTTCAGTTTGGTGTCAGCTACTCCTAACTTGTAACAGTTTCTTCATCTCTGGTAGTGTAGTACCTAAGGCACTTGACTGCTAACCAGAAGGCTGGAGGTTCAAACCCACCAGCCACTCCTCAGAAGGAAGGTTAGACCATCTACTTCTGTAGTGATACTGCCCCAGAAACCCCAGGAGGGATCGCTATGAGTCAGGTCCAACTCGATGGCACATAACAACAACAACAAAATAAAACAGGATATGGATCTCTAAGGTCCCTTTTTTCACGTTTATCCTTTATGTAAATCCTAAGAGACTGTGGGGATGCAGCTTTTGTCATACAGACTGGCCCAGTACTGTTGGAGTTGAAAGAGCTCCAAGTTTGCAGTCAACAGACCTGGGCCCAGGATCTAACTCTGACTCTGACTGACTGGTGAACTTGAGCATGTATGGGACTCAAGGTTTTCATCTGTGAAATGAGACCAATGTCCTCTGCCCTGCTTCCTTCCCAGAGGCTGTTCTGAAGATCCAAAGGGATGATCAGTGTGACAGTGCTCTCAATTGTACAAAAACACCATAAAGAAAACACATATTATTTTTTTTGTGCTGATGGAAAATATGTTTTTCTTTATTGATATGTTGCTGTTGTTGTTATGTGCCATTGAGTTGGACCTGACTCATAACGACCCCTCCTTGGATTTCCAAGGCGGTATTGCTATGAGTCGGGGCCGACTCGACGGCAAACAACAACAACAACAACAACAATCACTATGGAAGTAGATTGCCCAACCTTCCTTCTGAGGAGTGGCTGGTGGGTTTGAACTGCCAGCCTTCTGGTTAGCAGTCAAGTGCTTTAGGCA